TAGGAAGGTCAACACCTAAAGAGAAGCTTCTTTCAGTAGTATTCATCGGGGTAATAGATAATTCTATAAACGTACATCATTCTACAACTTTATTCTGCATTTTCCGAATTGAACTTCATTTGCTGTGGTTCAATGAAAGGAGAGGACCTTTACTCTCTGTGCCTTGGCCTCAAGCACCATGTGGGAGACATTCTACCCAGGTCTAGATTTACTCTATTTCCTTAGCATTTTAAACAAGTTGCGCAGAATTTGGCAAAATAGTTGAACTCAGTCGTAACTTTGGGGGGGGAAAAGATAACTTGAAAAGGTACAGATACAGAAAATAAGCTTCAAAACCAAGACTGTATTTAAGAATTTGGCAAATTCTGAATGTTTTAAAGTTCTAAACAAATAGTCAATTTAGACCCAGATGGAATTTCTTCCTGTGTGTGTGTGTAAGAGAGAGAGCGAGAGAAAGAATCTTTTTGCCAAAGCCTCTGTCAGAGAGATTTTAGTTTTAAAACGGACTACACGGTGGAGCAGTGCAGGTGAGCCATTAGTAACAGAATATAAGAAGTGACCGCCTGCTGAGTGCCACTTCTTCATGAGAAGGACTGGCTAGGCATGAACTGGCTCAAAAATCAAGCTGGGAAAATACACAAAGGTAGAGAATTAAAACGCCATCTTGTGCCAGATTCAGTTGATACCCGAGGAGTAGCAGGAATACAACAACAACAACTTGTACTTACATAGCACCACCCACGCAGGGTCACGTCTCAGAGCACTTAACAGTGGTGGGTGGGGCGGCGGTGGCCTTTCGGCACGGTCAAAGAGGAAGGTTTTCAGATGGATCTTGAAAAAGGGAGAGAGATGGCAAGGCGGAGTGATTAAGGGAGAATGTTTCAGAGTTTTGGGGCCCAGAGGCTGAAAGCACGACCTCCGATGGTGGAGTGAAAGGTATGAGCGATGAGCAGGAGGCCTGTGCCAGTCGAGGGGAGGCGCCAGGTGGTGGATTGAGGAGTGAGGAGGTCAGAGAGGTAGGGAGGTGCCAGGGAGTGAATGGATTTGAACACGAGTGTGAGGAATGTTGCAAGAACACAAATACAGAATGGTCCTTTGAACCCAGAGAAGAGAATTACATTTAACCGATCTTGCCTGTAGCTCCAGCTGTCAACTTTGGGGAAATCCTGGGTGGGTTTTTCAATGGTGAGTTGCAGGTCAGCCACATATCTCTGGCATTACCTCCCACTAACGTACCAAACAGAGCTGGAAATGTCAAGCTGCAACCTTCAGATTTGCTCCAGGGGATGGGCTGTCAATGCTTTAATACCAGTTCTGCTGATGTGACAGATCTAAATCACTGGTTTTCTTTAGAGAATCCGTTCAGAAATCACCTGGAAGTTATAGCTGCACACCAAGAAGGATGATATGTTGGCTGGTACAGAATATCGGCTAATAGCAATTTAGATTTGCGTAGCGCCTGATTTGGGTAGTCCCATCCGGTGAAGAAGCGAGAACAATGTAGCATTTTTATAGAGCCTTTCACATCGGGAGGACTTCTCAAGTCTCTTCACAGAATAGGCTGGGAGCCTGTGCTAGGGGGTAAGAGGCAACCACAAGTGTGATCAAAAGGAAAAGTCTTAATATAGGCTTTAAAGGCAAGGGAGAGAGGGGGTTCCATAGATCAGCGTCAGAATAGCTGAAAGCTCATCCCCCGATATGGGATAGGGGACGTGAAGCATTCCTAAAACTATCACTCATGCAAGACACTACTTGGGATTGTGAGCCTCGGCAAAAACATTGACAAATGCCTCTACCATAGAGATAGGCTTGGTAATCTGAGATAGCACTCAAGCATTAGCACAGAGCTCTTGAGGTAACGTTTGCTCGCAGTCTTTCCTGTTTTACTGATGTTGATTTCGTCAGAAAAATGTAAAGCTGCTTTGGACTGTAATCATCTTGCTTCACAAATTTATGAAACTTGTTTGGGGGTTGGGGGGGCAGGAGGGTGTTAATGGAGCATAAAATGAAACACAGAGATAGTGAGCTCCGAGCAACAATGGTAAACTATTGGAGACTCATTTGGGAGTCCAATATTTGAACATGAATCGCTGATCATTCTTTGACTTCCCCAAGGGGTGAGTTTATCAGTTGGAACCAGTTTATTTGAGGAGGAATAGAAAGCTATCTTGTGTACACTTTTGGGGTGGGGGGGGAGTTGGAGAAGGGGAGGATTTAGCCAAGGTCTGGTTTTGCTGTGATTATAGACATGTGCATTTGATTGAGTAACACACCCTCCGACTAAGGATAGCCTGGGTATAAAGAGGGTAACTTGAGATCAGAAATAAGGACGTTTATTTTCTCCAATTTTTTAAAAATTATTATAAATATAGTCACTGTGAATTCGTAGGCAAATATGGTGGCCAAGTTGTGCACAGCAATGCTCCACAAACAGCCAGGTGAACGACACTTCACTGCAGGATTTATTGGCCAGGACTCTGGGAGAAACTCCCTTCACTTTTTAATTTAGCTTCATGGATTCTTTAACATTTACATAAACAGACAGATGTAACCTCGGTTTAATATCTCATCCGAAGGATGACACCTTCGACAATGCAGGGCACCCCAGCATGCATTAGACTGCCAACATAGGTAGGCTATGTTGCTTCAGCATATGCACCACTTTATTCTTACGATTTCTTTGTTAACCTTCTTAATAAAGTACATTAAAAAGTCTACAATAAGTTAGAGTTTTAGCATATAAACATCTGCAAAAATAGAGATGTTTATAAATTGCAATTAATCAATTTTCTAATTGTATCAACTTAGAAAGTCTAGCAATATACATATCCTTAGCCCCTGGGCTATTTACACATTCTTGGACACTGCTATAAAGTCCTCCATTATGACTAATCATTTGCCACTTTAGGGCTCTTCAGTCGCAATATTTTTATCTCTCTAAGTCTGTGAACAGACAATATTGCACTCCTGGTAGTACAGTACTGGACTTACTTCATGCAAATGTTAAACAAGTACTGCAATAACAGACTTATGAAGCCCCACAAGTGGAATGTAGATAATAATAAAAGGCAAAGTACGGCAGATGCTGGAAATCTGGTATCAATACAGAAGTCGCTGGGAACATGTGACAGTTCAGGCAGCATCCATGGAGAGAGGAAAATTAGTTAACTTTGGACAAAAGGTCATAGACTTGAAACGTTAACTAATTTTCCTCTCTCCATTGTTGCTGCCTGACCTGCTGCGTGTTCACAGCGACTTCTGTGTTTATGTAGGTTTACATTATTATTAGTTCAACTGGTAAATTTCAATATCTAAAAGTTACCTTAAAATGAGCACCTGACAGTATTTAAACAAGGAAAACTGGCCACTATATTGTAAAAGAGAAGTCTGCTTCTTTTGATGTTGAGCATCATTTGGCCTTTCAGATTATATAATTGAAGAGAGTGCTATTTGATAGAAATATTGTTTCATGCATATCATATATTTCTGTTGTGTCAATGCAAGGCACTGCAAAAACAATTTTAATGCAAATACAATCGGAATTAAATAAACTGCCATATTTGATCCTTAATATTTGCCAGTGTCAAGAATGTAATGTTGTATCATGTAACTAAACAAGCCCAAGAAATCATAAAATGAAGCTAAAAAGAAATGATTCTAGAACTTCAGTGCATTTCATCAAACCTTAAAGATCCTCAACTACCTCCTTCCTGTCTAGGTTTGTAAGTGATCCACGGTCATTGGTAAAACAATGAATAATAACAATCCTTGCATTTCATATTGCACCTTATCAAGTAGTCGAGACACGTGAAAGCACTTCACAGGATTTTTACTTTAAAGTGCAATGACTGTATTTGTAGGTGTATGCAGCAATGTCCCACAAACAGTAATGAAGTGAAAGACTGGTTTTATCTGGGGGATTGTTGGCCAGAACACAGGGAAAAACTCAACCGTAAGAGCAGCAAAGCAGTAAGCACTGCTATAAATGATCCTTAGGAATCAAAAGACCTGAAATAATTCAAGTGTATTCACTGCGAATTTATAGGGAATGTGGTAACCAATTTGCGCATATCAATATCCCACAAACAGCCAGATGAGTGATTATTTTATCTGGAGGATTTGTTTGCTAGCATAGTGGGGAGAAACTATTCTTGAATATTACCATGGCACCTAAAACACCAACTGAACAGACAGAAGTGATCTCGGTTTAATGTCTCATTTGATGCATGGTACCTCCAATAATGCAGCATTCCCACAGTACTGATCTGGAGGGTCAGCCTCGGCTGTGCATTCAAATTCCCAAAATGGAGTTTGAACCAGGGACATTCTGACTTGTTGGAATAAATAAAACCTACATTGTAAAACAGAATTAAAACAAGGGATGTTTTCAACAAATGAATGTAGGTTTGTTATGATCCAAAAAGTCTTGCTGAACATGCACCCCAGTCTTTTTAATGTGATATTCCTTGTTTTTACCAGTACAAGTAAAACATTTGCAATGCAATGTTATTTGGCAGGGAAAACCTTAGGAGTCCTGTAGCTCAGTGGTTAGAGCACTCACTTTGCAAGTGAGAGACCTGAGTTCAATTCCAGGCAGAGGGCGAAATCTTGGGCAAGTTTCCTTACTCCACACGCCTAATAATAATCCCTCCAAAACCAAAAATAATAATAAATTGGACATTTTCAATCTACGACTGTTTGTGGGACATTGCTGTGCGCAATTGGCTGCCGCGTTCGCCCACAAATATACAGTCAATTCACTTTACAGTGTGTTCTGTGAAGCGCTTTGGGATGTCCTCCTGACATGAAAAGCGCTATATCAAATGCAAGGATTATTATTATTATTATTATTAGGACAATTCTGACAGTGCACCATAGCCGGTGATCTCCTGGAATAGTGTGCGCGTATGTGTGTTAAGTTTAAGGAGCGCATTTTGAATCTATTCAGCATATGTTCACTGCAGTTTTCTCTGCTCTAATTCTTCCATGTTTTCCGACAGCTCCAGATGGTGTGCTGCCTCCGAGGCTCTCATCTGCCACTCCGACCAGTCTTCAGGTTGCCTGGTCTGCACCAGCTCACAACAACGCTCCAGGCTTGCCCAGATACCAGCTTCAGACACGGCTTGCACATTCCACTGGTGATATTTCAGAGTATGTAGTACTCACAGTGGAGGATACACTCCTTAACTGCTTTTCTTTACCTTATTGAACTGCTGTGTTTCACCCCCAAAATATATAGTCATTTCACTACAGTATATTCTGTGAAACGCTTTGAGACATCTCGAAGATGTGATAAGGCGCTATATCAAATACAAGCATTATTATTATTATTTACTAATTGTTTTTATTTTGTGCTCTCTTAAATATCATTTTTTTTTGTTTTCTGGTGGCGTAACCATTGTTCTTGTACGTTTTTATCCATTGCGTGCTGATGTAACAAAAAAATATAAAAAGGGATAGGATTTAATGCTGTTTAAAAAAGGGATCAATTACAATTTTTACTCACAGAGTTATTATTTCAGTGTTCTGATGTATAGCTGTGTTTTCACCAAACATTGGCAATATTTTGTTTTCTTTCTTCCGAATACATTGTAAACAGGGATGTGAACTTTGTCTCAGGTCGTTCTCGTGCCTGCTGTGAACCGTAGAGCAGTTTCAACAAGAAGTGGCTCTATGAGAAGCTGGAGCCTCCAGTGCTGTACAGTTTTCTCCATTCCCCAATGTTCCCCATCTGTGATGATAACAGTGAAGTAAACTGAGTACATGGTCACCTGTGCGTAGTTGTTTGGACGCCATGAACGGTTGCTTCCCGGCAAGGGATCTTCCTATTGGCTGAGAGGCTGAGAGCTTGGTCCTCCAGTGGTCAGTGATGTAGAACTGTGCCCTGAATCTGGCAAAGCATTTATACACTGCCACAAGCAGCTCAGCTGCCTTACATGTAGGCTTGGCTCACTGTCTCTTTAAGTGGGCATCGAGTCCTCCACAGCTGCAGTGCTCCTTTTAAATCCCAATCAAGTTGAGAAAGTGCTGCTTTAGGTAAGTAGCATTGTAACTGGTGCCTCACTACACCATTGCATTATATAATAATAATCCTTGCATTTGATATAGCGCTTTTCACGTCGGGAGGACGTCCCAAAGCGCTTCACAGAACACACTGTAAAGTGAATTGACTGTATATTTGTGGGCGAGCGCGGCAGCCAATTGCGCACAGCAATGTCCCACAAACAGTCGTAGATTGAAAATGACCAATTTATTATTGATTTTTTGTTTTGGAGGGATTATTATTAGGCTCTGTGTGGGGTAAGGAAACTTGCCCAAGATTTCGCCCTGCCTGGAATTGAACTCAGGTCTCTTGCTTGCAAAGCGAGTTCTCTAACCACTGAGCTACAGGACTCCACACACCATATTCTGTGTTTTTCCACTGGTAAACACCCTTCGAGCCCATGGCACGGCAGGTTGGCATGACATGCAGAAAAAAATATTTACATAAGTCTGAGTTGCCGTCCAGCAACAGCTGTGACACTTGAGAACGATGACCCTGAGTTTTGAATCTCTACTTCAGTCAGTTAACAAAAACACATATTTTGGTGGTGGGGTTGGGGGGAGAACATTTGGAGTGATTTTGATCATGAATTCTGATCCTAATTTGAATGACAATACTCAATATTTTGGGATGATTTTAAGTTATATCTAGGTTATGTATGGAAGGTTAGGTTACTGTAAAAAAAAACACTCAGGACTACTAAGAAAACTAGCCTCAGCGACAAATATCCCTTAGGCCACCGCAAAAACAGATGCCTTTGACTCAATGACCCAGTCAACTGCCACAGTAAATTACATTTTAGGAAGAAAACCCAACAGACCACCACCGAAAGAATAGCTCCATTGGACAGCTTAGGACCTCAGTTACCAGATCAAAATATGTGCACCAGCCTCTCACATAGGTAGCCAGAAAATCATCATCGAAATGGGCAGCAACTAATATACCATATTAATTCTTTGCACATCATGCTACTGTCACTGTGGGTAAGGGCATCCCAGTGAGTGGACTCATGTCCATCTCAGTCTGATGGAAACAAAAATTGCACCGAGGACCGACTAACCTGAGTGCATCTTTGATCCAACAGTTTTGAATCCTTACAATCCTCAATTGCTTCAATTGGAGCTAGTTTTTCCTAAGAAAACAGATACTAATTTTCAACAAAGATTTTACAGTGAATTGCTCAGTGTCTGCTTCAGGTTCTGCACCCAAAAAATCTCTTTTTGCAAATATTTCTGGCAATATAACCTTCATTTTAATGGGTAGGTTTCCTTACTCCACACGTCTAACAATAATCCCTCCAAAACAAAATAATAATAAACTGGTCATTTTCAATCCATGACTGTTTGTGCGGACACTGCTGTGTGCAATTGGCTGTCGCATTTGACCCACAAATATATGGTCAATTCACTTTACAGCATATTCTGTGAAGCGCTTTCAGACGTCTAGAAGACGTGAAAAGCGCTATATCAAATGCAAGGATTATTATGAGGATTATTATTATATTTTAATTCCACTTATTGCAGTAATATGTACATTTCTCAAGTGCACAGTACAGATGCATTTTTTAAAAATCTTTTTTAACATGTTTGTTGATTACAGCTTATTACCCAACCCAACGGCTGCCTTGAGTTATGCAGCAACAGGTCTCCGTCCATATACAGCCTATGAGTTCAGACTGATTGCTTCCAACAGATATGGTAGTATCATCAGTGAGTGGGCACGAATGGTTACTGCAGAGGACAGTAAGTATCCTGTACACATCGCTGAGTATTGGATAGTTCCTGAAAAATATAATACATCAGCAATACTGTACTGAGTGAAGATTCACAAAAGAATCTAGAAATATAAATCGTCCCAATCCTTTTTTTTAATTTTGCAAATTGTGTTTTCTTTTACAACATGTTAAGTCAACAATATCCAGTGCAATTTTGGTGATAACCAATAAGGATATTTTTGAGACATATTCTTCATTTGAGGTTCAACCTTAAGGGAGTGGAGCTGTGAAAAAAAATTGAGTTCCCAAATCTGTTTGCGCATCTCATCTCCTAGCAAGAGCAATTTGTTATCTTCAAGAATATATACACAAAACCACCTTTCGCCCACAAAATATATAGTCAATTAACTTTACAGTATGTTCTGTGAAGATGTTTTGATGATTGTGATGAGGCACTATATCAAATGCAAGGATCATTATTATTATTAATTGAAGATAAATACAAAGTGAAGATCAATGCAATGTACTTTTTTGTTTTTCCTGCTTTGTTTCTCTTCTCCAATACCTTCATCTTCAGTCAGGAAAGTGTAATTATCCACCCCAGAGATAGCTTCGCATCAAGAGCGCAGTCCAAACTCATTAATAACAAACATAATTTTAACTGCTATTTCCTCTGAACGATTTGTCATTAAACAACAGCTCTGCACTCAAGATCAATTCTCTCTTTCACTTACATTTATTCTTCAGAGAATTTTGAAAGTAGCGTCCATCTGAAGCATGCATCATTGCCACTGTATTCAGGAACGACCATGAGAGGCAGCTCATGTGCCACCTACTGTCTGACTATAAAGGTGGACGGTGCTTGGGAACACATTAAGACCAGGACCACATTTTTCCTGGGAACATGTTCTTTGTGCTTCTGAACCCGTTACCTTTCCTTTGTCTGTGAAATGCCTTAAAATGTGCTCCCGATGTGAAAGGCCCTATATATAAATCCAAGGACAATTATTATTACATAAGGCTTTTAGTAGGTGCCCTCTGATGTACATTTCCGAGGAATATTGTGCACAAAGGAAAATACCAACAACAAAATTACATTTGTATAGTGCCTTTCACGTCTAGAGGATGTCCCAAGGCGCTGAAAATTAACATTTTCATTATCAGCGCCTTGGGACATCCTCCCGATGTGAAAGGCACTGCTTCTATGCAATGATATGGATGTACAAGCTGATCAAATATTGAAAACTCCTAACTCCCAAAAATAAACCAACTGAGCCGCCTCTGTTGTTTTCCTGCCAAAGACTGCAGTGTGATTTGTTTTTGGACATTGTTTCTTCAAAAACAAATTAGGTGGGGGAGGGGAGTATGTGGAAATAAGGATCATAAAAGGTAAATGATTTAATATTCAAAAATATACAGTCCCGAAGATGTGATAAGGCGCTATATCAAATGCAAGGATTATTATTAAATAAAATTATTAAATAAGGCTTATTTTACTCCCAGGTATTTTGAAAACATTTGTAAGTTGTGCTCAAAATATAGGCTATAAAGAGAATTATCTATAAAGCTAGTCTCAAAACTCTATCCTACAATACTTACTAAGTACACTCTTTGCTTAGATATATGCAGGTTTGGGGCACTGCAGCACCCAATATTATAATATCGTCCAAGCATGGCGCTGACTCAGAAACTTAGGCCAGGACTGTAGGAAGGTAACTTGGCAGTGACAGCCGTGAATAGGTAAACATCTCACTCCTGAGCAGAATGTAAATATAGGACCAAAAAAAAGAAGTCTATTTAAATGAAATGACCTCCAATACAGCAGCAGCTTTAAGTGCATCACACCTAGTTTTAAAAAAAATGCCAATTTAGTTCTGACAGAAGTCCATAAATTATCTGTAACAGCATTTGAACGATCACGAACTAGTTGTGAGAAATCACAATGAGCTCTAATTACTGGGGCAATTAGCTGTGTAACTTAGTGATTGATTGCAGCTTAAGTCAATCTTGAGGATCTTATTGAAGATGGCCAGGAAGCAATCTTTCAAAAAAAACGCTAGCAAGCCACACTGGAACTGCACGTGAGCACCATGATAGTGAATGAAAACTAGGAAGCTTCGATCGCTGAATGATCCTTCCAGTTTCATGACAGATTTTGAATTCTACTGCAGTTGGAATGTTTTGTGCATTGCAGAAATGTCTAATTCCTTTCATAAATTGTGATTCAGGTGCTTTAAACTGCTGGGGTAAAATTCCATCTGAGTCTAGATTTGTGCAGGATTTGGGCAAACTGTTAAATTTAGATTTTACTTTGAAGCCTGTTTTTTTAGTGTTTTTTGTCCACAAAATATACATTAAATTAATTCCTTGAGGCACTTTGAGACATCTCGAAGACATGATAAGGCACTATATCAAGTGCAAGGATTATTATTATTGAAACATTTTTAAGTTGTGCTCAAAATACAGGCTATAAAGAGAATTAACTGTATAATTTATGGGCGAAATACGGCAGCAGTGTCCCACAATTATGCACAGCAGTGTCCCACAAACTGTCGTGGATTAAATGACCAAATTGTTATTATTTTTTGTTTATTTTTGAAGGGATTATTCCCCCCAGACAAGCAATCTGCCAATCGACTAACAATCGGGTTCCTACTTACCGCTAGATGAACAGAGGCGTGTGGAGTAAGGAAACTTGGCCACCATTTCGCCCTGCCGGGAATTGAACCCAGGTCTCTCGCTTGCGAGGCGAGTGTTCTAACCACTGAGCTACAGGACTCCACTTGACAATCAATGCTAGTATTCAAGCTGGAGGTGGGTGCAAGAGGAATAGGGAGGAAGGAAAAAGATGACCAAAAGTGCAGACCTGTGTCTAAACTGTCATCTGAGGTGTGAGATTGAATCAATTGTAGACATGTGAATGAGAGAGATTTAAAGAATAATGAAAATGCAATCAACTGCTTTATGTTTCATTACCTTGTAAGATGGGCTGCAGAATAAAAGCTATGCCCAAAGTGCAATAAACTCCAATAACCTTTCTGCTTAGATAGTGTCTGTCACTCGTGTCATTCTTATTTCATTGTACCACTTTGTATCTGTTTCTCAAAACCTTGCAGGAGATTGTTCCTCAAGAATGATTGGTAGAGTAACCTCTGAGTATTTTGCCTATAATACACAGTCAATGAATGCACTTTACAGTATATCCTGTGAAGCACTTTCAGTCAACGTGAAAGGCACTATATCAAATGTAAGGATTATTATTATCATTTCAGTATAGTTATAATAATAATAATAATCCTTGCATTTGATATAGCGCTTTTCACGTCGGGAGGACGTCCCAAAGCGCTTCACGGAATATACTGTAAAGTGAATTGACTGTATATTTGTGGGCGAACGCGGCAGCCAATTGCGCACAGCAATGTCCCACAAACAGTCGTAGATTGAAAATGACCAATTTATTATTGTTTTTGGTTTTGGAGGGATTATTATTAGGCTCTGTGTGGAGTAAGGAAACTTGCCCAAGGTTTCGCCCTCTGCCTGGAATTGAACTCAGGTCTCTCGCTTGCAAAGCGAGTGCTCTAACCACTGAGCTACAGGACTCCACAATCTAGTTAGCACAATCTATATACTTTTTTTATAGAACATGTTGAAACAAAGTTTGTAAAATAGGTCTGCATTGATTTTTGTTTGCCAGATTTTGCTTTGAGATGTAAATTAGGGTGCCATGGTTTTGAACCCGAGGAACGTTTTTTTTATATACATATAAGATGTTTTCCTACTTAATTCTCCAGCTCGTCTTATCAACTAAATTGCACAAAACTAAAATCACTACCCGTTTTTGAACTCTATTGTGTAAACCCAGAACCATCCAAGTGCATGACATTTTAATCAAACACACATCCAAAACACCTAATCATCTTTACAATCAAACAAGCTTCCCTGCTGCCTTCAGTTGCCTGGGAATTCAGATTCCAGTTACTATTCAGAAGCTCTCAGCGGTGGCTTCAATGCTGTCCTATATCTGATTGAGTACGCCGCGCGTACCCAAACTGTTTTGTATTCAATTGAAATGTATTTTTACTAAGAAATCAGAAACTTGCAGTTCTCATTGGGTACTAAACAGAAAAGATAATGGCTGCAAAACATCTTCTGAAGTGTTGTATTTCAACCCTGATTTTTTTTAAAAGGCAGAATGTTTGCAGCCATTTATTTCTTATGTTCTTATTTGTCATATCTATATTTATTTTCAAAGCCCTCATCTCACAATATATACAACCCACAAAATGTATAATCAATTCACTTTCCAATATATCCTGTGGAGCGCTTTGAGGCGTCTCAAAGTCGTGATGAGGCGCTATATCAAATGCAAGGAATATTATTATTATTAACACCCAGCAATTTTTGCCAAGAGCTTCCCTTAGCCAACGAGAAACAAGCAGTGAAAAAACACTGCCATAGTGGGTTGAATTTACCGGGAAGAGTTTTTGAGGCTGAGATGTCGCTGGATCCAGTTACAAAAGAGTTTGATGCTATGATGGAAGAATGGGTATTCCCATGGGATGAGAGCAAATGGGCTGAAGGGCCTTCTTCATCCGCATGTCTCTTGTGATCTTGTGAATTTGGTTTCCTTGTCTTAGTCCTGAATACCATGCCAATTGAGAATGTTGAAAATCCTAGTCAATAAAACAAAAATCAGAAGATAAAAAATAAAATAAATAAGACCTTGATGTAAAATATCTCACTGACAAACCATATTGAAATTAATTCATCCCAACTTATTGCATAGATACTACTAGTTAGCATTGATACCACCAACAATTGACACTCTGGCAGGCTCTGATATAAGGTTTGGGTCCTGAATTATACTCCTGCTTAGGTATTTCTCTATGTAATAAGGAGGAACAAGTTAAGTTAAAGTGTTTGTTATTTCTGTGGCACTTATTCATGTTTTGGATAATAATAAATGAAAAGTTGTTCATATACTTTGTATGTATGAGACCCCTCTCACTGTTAACTCAGTTTCCCGTG